ATATCTGATCTTTGCAATGACATATTATTCAATCATAAAAAGAAATGAGGTTGTGATACATACTACATGAATGAAGGAAGCTTTATCACATAGGCATCACCAATTATTAACTCAATTTCTAGCCCTTCTCCTCTTCTGCAGGATTGGGAGTGGGGCTGAAAGCCCCAAACAACTAATTGTGAAAAGGGATGTTGGAGGCTGGCAGTCTTGACTCCATCTTGTGCCTGAGACTCCATTTTACTGAACTTCTAACTTTAAAAAAAGCACTAAGTATTTACTAACCAGCAAGAAGCATGTTCCAGCTACACACAGCCTTCTTTAAGAACTGCACAAAGATACTTTTTTTCTTTTTCTTCTCCACAGTAATCAAGGCCAGCTTGATTAAAAGCCAATGAACGCTAAGGAATATAATCTATAACCAATCCTAATTCTTAATAAACAGTTTGTGCCATCCTATCTTCCTTCTTCCCTCCTCTTTTATCCTTTTAAAAATCCCTTAAAGACTTGAGTGGGATCTGAGATAGTGCTCCCCAATTAGCAAATATAAGACACCCAAATAATATCATTATTTTATTTTGGCCTTGTGGCATTTTTCTCAGTCAACATCATCATCACTTGATTTTGCAGGTGACCAGCCCCCAACTTGAAACTAAGCAGTGCCCATCAGGACTCACCCCATGAAGGGAGAAATTTTGAGAGTGAAAGTAGTTGTCATGCTTCACATTAAAACTTGTGTTGTGTAGCCAAAGCTCTCCTGAAAAAAAAAAAAAGGGAATGGAGGCATCACACTCCCAGACTTCAAACTCTACTACAAAGCCATAATCATCAAAACTGCATGGTATTGGAACAAGAACAGACATACAGACCAATGGAATCGAATAGAAAATCCAGAAATAAACCCACAGATTTATGGTCAACTAATATTTGACAAAGGAGCAAAGACTATGCATTGGAGCAAAGAAAGTTTGTTCAATAAATGGTGCTGGGAAAACTGGGTCGCCACATGCAAAAGAATGAAGCTTGACCACTACCTCACACCATACACAAAAATCAACTCAAAATGGATTAAAGAACTAGACATAAGACCTGAAACCATAAAATATATAGAAGGAAACATAGGCGAAACACTACGTGATTTACACATCAAAGACATCTTTACAGACACATCACCCAAAGCAGTGATAGTGAAGGCAAAGATAAACAGCTGGAACTACATCAAATTAAAGAGCTTCTGTACAGCAAAAGAGACAATAACAAAAACAAAGAGAAACCCCACCAACTGGGAGAACATTTTTGCACCCAACACTAATGATAAAGGACTGATCACAAAAATCTGCAAAGAGCTGATGAGACTCAACAACAACAAAGAAAATAATCCAGTCAAAAAATGGGCAGAAGAGCTAAAAAGAAACTTCTCTGAAGAGGAAATGCGAATGGCCAACAGGCATATGAAAAAATGTTCAACATCACTTGCAATCAGGGAAATGCAAATCAAAACTACCATGAGATACCATCTCACACCAGTGAGAATGGCACATATTAAAAAAACTAGCAACAACAAATGTTGGGGAGGTTGTGGAGAAAAAGGAACTCTCCTGCACTGTTGGTGGGAGTGCAAACTGGTCCAACCACTATGGAGAGCTGTGTGGAGATTTCTGGACCTACTAAACATAGAGCTTCCATATGATCCAGCAATTCCACTCCTAGGTATTTACCCAAAGGACACAGAAACATCAATTCCAAAGAACACCTGCGCCCCTATGTTTATAGCAGCACTATTTACAATAGCTAAGCTTTGGAAACAGCCCAAATGCCCAAAAATAGATGACTGGATCAAGAAGATGTGGTACATATATACCATGGAATATTACTCAGCATTCAAAAAAGATAAACACATGCAATTTGCAGCAACATGGATGGCGCTGGAAGGGATCATGCCCAGCGAAATAAGCCAAAAAGAAAAAGAAAAATCCCGGATGGTCTCACTCAAAGCAGGAATCTAGAAAACTTAAATAAGGGACCAGGAAAATGAATAACTATAAGAAAGTGAAAATCAAAATCAACAAAAAAACTATGAACCAGAGACACTTTTTGGGGGGTGGGGGGCGGGTGGGGGAGGGATTGGGGTCAGAATGGGGGGGTTGCAATTGTATGGGGAATATAAAAATAAAATTTATTATTTATAAAAAAAAAAAACAAAAAAAAATAAAGTATGCTAAATTTGTCTGGAAAAAATAAATAAATAAATAAATAAATAAATAAAACTTGTGTTGTGATGTAGAGACCTTTAAAATGAATGCATTTCAGCAAAAAGATGGTTTATAAGAACTCTACAGTTTTTTAAATTGTATCATTTTTCTTTCTGGGAGTAACTTGGTTTTCTCATATCTCAAATAAACTTGCCCCAAACTGTCTTTCTCATCTTTTTTTGCATAAAAGACTACTCATTGTGCAAATTGATAGCAAATAGCTATCGATAAAACATTTTTATAAAAATTTGCTACCTCATGAACAATATTCTTGTAAATTTCCTAAATGTGTATTCTTACCTCTATAATAGTATCCTCAAAATTAACATACTTTCAATGGTTATGACTGAAAAATGTATTCCAGAAGCAACTATATACTTAAAGCAAAAAATACATAATTTCAAATAAAAAAGTTACCTCATTAGAACAAAAGACACATCTATGGACCCAGAAAGGAATTTAGGAACTCTGTATGATTCTAGCAACCCTATCATTCATGACAGTACAAAGGTTAAAGGAGTTCAGTGTCAAGAAAACCAGGGTCAGCTCCTCCCCGGTGGCGCAGCGGTTGAGCGCTGGGTTGTGAAGCTGCCCGCAGCCTCTGCTGCGCCGGTTCGATCCCCGGCTGCTCCCCGGCCACCGCAGGAGGGTCCCACATGGCGCACAGACCTCTCCTGCCGCCCGCTGCTCCCCTCAGCAGTGTACTTCGGTCCTTCTGCCTGCTCTGCTCCCTGCTCTGGCTCTGGTGAATTCTCTCACCCTCCCGTGCTTCTGACTGTACCCAGTGCTTGTATATGTAAACAAATAAACAAACAAATAAATAAATCTTAAAAAAAAAAGAAAGCCAGGATCTGAGACCGATAGCTATGTGTCTATGTCACATATTTTATCTATTTTATGACCCCAAGATATGCCATGTTGGTATATTGATATTTTGAGCTGAAGACACTTGGAAAACAGCAAAGGCAAGGAGAGGTTTTCTCTAAAATCCCCTTATCTGCCTCAAGACAGAGTCCCCCAAATAAACTAAATTGTCATAAATCCCCTCCTTGGAAGTTTCATAAACTAGTATAGATTGACTCTGGGCACAGATATGGAAACTAGATGTCAACAGCACGTGCAGGTAAACCTTGCCACAAACTATCATAACTCCAATTTGTTCTTCTAAAGAGCCATTCCATCTTTCTTAAAAACTCATTTGCGGGCCTCCCCTGGTGGCGCAGCGGTTGAGCGGTGGTAAGGTCGCCGGCCACCGAAGGAGGGTCCCACATGGCGCGCAGACCTCTCCTGCCGCCCGCTGCTCCCCTCAGCAGTGTACTTCTGTCCTTCTGCCTGTTCTGTTTCCCGCTCTGGCTCTGGTGAATTCTCTCACCCTCCCGCGCTTCCGACTGTACCCAGTGCTTGTATAAATAAATAAATAAATCTTAAAAAAAAAAAAAAAAACCTCATTTGCTTTCCTCTAAGTTGTATACATCTCTCCTCACCTTCCCCTATGAAGATATTATATAAGCTGTCAGATCTGCCTATCTGGGTATTCATTTTTTTCCCCCCACTGTGATGCCCCTCACAGAAGCATTTTTTAAATTATTACATTTGTATGTCTTTTCTCTTGTTAATCTGCCTGTTGTATGTTTATTTCATGGACCGAGAGGCTGTACACTATGTATAATGAATCTAGGAGGATAGATTGCTATAGAGGTAAAGGAGACAGACAATGAGGCAATCCACCAATAAAGAAGTTCAGCTGACCAGCAAACCAGCACAAAGAAAAGGCGCACGTGTAGCTTCGGGGACCCTCGGGGCAAAGGTACCCGAGAAATGCGAATGAAAGAAAGGTCCCCGGGGTGGGCGGCCGAGGCTTCTCTGGACACAGTGCGGGGTGGAGGGGGCGGGCGAAGCCCCCCGGACGGGCCTGCGCCCCGGAGGCAGCAGGGCGCGGAGACCTCGCACCCTCCCTCGGCTCCGGCTCCGGCTCCGGCTCCGGGCGGGACGCTCCGCAGAGGCCCTCGCCGGGGAGCCCCGCCCGCCGCCGGCTCTGCGGCGGGGATCCCGGGGGCGGGGGGCTCGCCCGGGGGCGGGGGCGGGGGCGGGGGCGGGCCCGGGGCGGGGCGGGGCGTGGCTGCTCGGGGGCGGGGCCCGGCTGGCGGCCGCCGGGGGCGGGAGGCGACCGGCGGGCGGGGGCGGCGGCTGCGGGGGCGGCCGGGGAGCGCGGAGGGCGCCGGGCGGGCGCGTCGCTGGGGCCGCGCGTGCACCTGCCCGCCGCCGGCGGCTCTCGCTGCGCTGCGGGGTCGGCGCGGCCTGCGCGGGCCGGGCCCATGGCGGCGTCCGCGGCCCTGTCGGCGGCCCTGTCGGCGGCGGCGCTCTCGGGCCTGGCGCTGCGGCTCTCGCGCTCGGCCGCGGCGCGCGGCTCCTACGGCGCCTTCTGCAAGGGGCTCACGCGCACGCTGCTCACCTTCTTCGACCTGGCCTGGCGGCTGCGCGTCAACTTCCCCTACTTCTACGTCGTGGCCTCGGTGATGCTCAACGTCCGCCTGCAGGTGCGCATCGAGTGAGCGCCGCGGCCCGGCGGGGTCGGGCGCCGGCGGGCCGGCCCGCGACGGCGGGGGCGCCGGCATGAGGGGCGGCGGGGGGCCCCGGGCCCGCTAGCCCCGCGGGGGGACGCCGGCCGCCCGGCCCCGCCAGGCCCCCGGCCGCGGCCGCGACCCGCCCCCCTGCCCGCGGCCGCCGACGGACCCCGCGGGAGCTCGCGAGACGCGCCCGCCCTGGGCCCGGGAGCGTGGCTGGCGGCGGCCGACCTGTTGCCCCGCGGGGGACCCGAGAGAAGAGATTCCGCCGCCCGCGCGGGACCGACACCAGGTAGGAGGCCAGAGCCCGGGCGGGCGGCCGGAGGCGGCCCGCGCTGCCCCCCAGACACCTGGGGCCCTCGGGGGGCTTGGGGGGCGGGTGTGCGACGGGCCCCAGCGAAGGCCCAGGGCAGACACAGGCCCCGACGACGCCTTTGTTGCGGTGGCGAGGTGGAGTCCAGGGGCAGCTCCTCGCAGGCGCCAAATGGGGAGTTTCGCCCTCGTCTGGCTGCCCAGGCCCTGCCCCCTTTCCCCAGGGCCTGGCTGGCATCGCCTGAACCTGGGCGCAGGGAGCGAAGTGGCCCCGGCGGCTCCAGGGAGAGCCCTGGAGGAGAAGCGAGGCCGCCACCCTTTTCCACTCCCCCAGCCCCCCCTCCCCGCCAAGAAGGAGGAGGTGTTCCTGGCCAAGCCCCAGCTCTGTCCCCTTCTCAGCCCTCAGGTCCCGGGGCTCGCTGCCGCTGCGGGCACAGCCCCTCCCCAGACTGCCTCCTGCCCGGTCTCTGGGGCCAGCGGAGGGCGCTCTGCCTGCTCCTGCCGTCCCTTCAGTCCCTTTAGCTCCCCTCCCCCTTGCTCTGTCTAGTCTGGGCCAGGCTCCTGTCCCCTTACTCCCTCCAGCACCTACCCCTGCCCCCGAGGATGATGCCGTCCTTGGCCCTGGGCTGGGCAGCTTCCAGCAGCCTCCTGAGCGCCTAAAGGGCTTGGGGAAACAAGGGGCCTCCTGAGCCACCGCAGTGCCTAGGCTGGGGTGGGGATACACGTGGAGAAGAGGAAACAGGGCCGGGTGGGGTGACAGCTCATCTCTCAAGTCTCCCTGTTTTTCAGGAACTGGTGTTTATAGGCGGTGACTCGCCCCTTCTCAGAGTTGTCCAGAGCCTAACGTCTGCCCAAGGGGCGTCTCTGCTCCCACAGCTGCCTGGGGAGCAGCTGAGTGAAGGGCCTGGTGGAGGAGGAAAGGAAGGATCTTCCAGGCAGAGGCCCCCAGGGCTGGGGGAGCCCAGCATGCACTTCTGGTTTGGGGAAGGACGTCTCACCTGGGCACCGAGGTCTCCTGGCAGCGCTGCGAGGGAGCTCTGTTCGCCCACCTGATGAGGGTAACTCAGGGCTCCGGGAGGGAAGAATTTCCTCCTACCACACACATACAAAGTAGTAGAGCCTGTGTTCCCCCACAGCCGCCCGGATGGGGGAGCTGTCCACCACTCCTGGGGGGCCTAGGGAGAGAGGAGTCCAGGGTAGGGAATCTGGGGAGCCAGCTCTCCTCGCAGTAATGTGGGCGGTCCCAGGAAGAGGGGAGGACAGGCTGAGCTGAGCTGGGCACAAGAGACATGGGTGCCAGGCCCCTGGGAGCTGAGGTCCTCCACAGACCTGGCCTCCCCGCTTACCCCAGGCTGGACCAAGGGCTTCTCAATGGAGTGGCACAAGCCCTTGTTTGGGTGGTGGGGTAGGGACGTGGCTCCTGGTTCCCCATAACCACCAGGGTGAAGATATAAACCTGGGGTGGAATGGGCTGGGACTCATGGCACGACCCCCTCTCTCTGCCCCCAGGCTCGGCCCCCCAACCCCAGGATCACACGGGACACTCTCTAGATGGACTCGGATTGGTCCTGCAGCCCTGGGTGTGCTGCTGACTAGAGGAGCAGGATGGCCAGGAGACACCCTGGCCCTCAGCACGCATCCCAGCCCCACGGCTGCTCTGGCACCGGGTACTCGTGGCTCTCGTCCTCGGAGTTGCTGGGACTGAAAATCACAGGGGCCTGGTCAGCCCCAGGGACGGAGCGGCCCAGTCTGCTACCATCTGCCCTCCTGGAGCCAGGTCCCGGGTGAAGAGCTGCCCGCCCCACCCCAGGGACTGCGGCCTGACTTGGCACCCCTGCAGTTTCACCCCAACAGGACCTGATGGCATTCTTTACTGGTGCCACGTCTCCTGGGAGCCTCCCGTCCTGGTGGCCCTCGCCCACCCAGCCCTCTCCACCAGGACCCCTCTGGGAGCCTGCCAGCCCCCTGCCTCTACCCAAAGATCTCTGGGGCGGCCTGAGAGCTCGTGACCCCAGACTGCAGGGAGAGAGGGGTGAAAGGCCTCCTTGGGGCTGATGCACAGATGCGCCCCTTCCAAGCCCAGCTCTCACCTTCCGGGTGACTCTTGATCCCCAGCTCCAGCATGTGTGTGTGTGGGGTGGGGGGGGGGCGAGCACGTTTGGTGCAGAGGGGAGGAAGCTGTAGACAGTGTGAGCTGCCCTGGGTTCTAGCCCTCCCTGGGCAAGGGGCTCAGCTGTTGCTGGAAGGGGCCTAGGAGACTTTCCCAACGGGGAGAAATGGGTGTGAGAGCCTCTGGGATCCCAGGCCTGGGAGACCTCTACCCCCCGCAGAGCAGCCCCACCCCCTGCCGAGGGGACTGGAAGCCCCAGTGCTGTGCCTGTGGCTGTCTTGTCTTCAGGGGATGGCTCGGGGAGGGGCCGGGGCCTGGTCCTTTGCAAGTGTTCCTGCCACTGCTTTTCTTACCATTTTGGCCTTGAGTAGTTGACTTGCTTCAGCTTCCCCACCTGTCCCTTCTCTTCCCTGGGGGCCCCTGCAGCTCCCCGTGCACTTTGTTGTTTGCAGTCTGTTTTCCAGGCACCGGAGCTTCTGCAAAATCAGACACGGACCTGAATGAGATGGCTTTGAGGTCTCTGTGAGATTAACTTTGTACTCGTCTGCACAGCGGGGCAGACAAATGTTCTCGTTTCTGGTGTTCTTGATTCTGATGTTGTGAAATCTTGTGGTCTCTAGTAAATAAAAAAGTCCTTGAGTTCAATAAAATAATTTAAAAATGAGCCTCCTGTTTCTGGTGTGGTACAGTAGTCTTGGAGGAGGTGCAGGGGCCAGTGGTGAGGTCACAGCTCTGATGGCCACAAGCCAGGGGTGGGTACCCTCAGAGGGCTGGAGGGGCAAGGGCTGTTGAAAAGCTGCTCAGATACCAGCCTTGGCCTGGCTCACTGCCCCTGAGGAGAAGCAGCAGCATAGGCCTGGTCCAAGAGGTGGCAACTTGTCCCTTTCACAGCCTTTGTTGGAATAACTTAAGCCTTTTCTTCATTGTAGAACCTGCTGTTAGAAAGTACTTAGTTCAGTTGAGCCTCCAGCAGCTGGGAGCAGAAAGGTGAAATAGAGGTCACTTTGCGTGCCTGGAGACCCCTCTGCATCAGTGGGTGGTAATGTCCCCATTGCTCTCAGGTAGATGTAGTTTTGGGTCCTGAGATTTTCTTCCCTTTCCCCCAGCTTAGACCCAGACTATTTGTCACAGCCCTGCTCCCAGATCCTCCCCAATCAGGCCCTTTTGAGGCACTGCAGGGGTGAGGGAAGGCAGGCGGCTGAGTGAGGGAGGCCATGGGCAGAGTCTGGCAGCCACTGTGGAGGAAGGTCCACAGTCCCCAGGGGAGGCATCCTGAGGGCACAGTGTGGATACACTGAGCACGGCCTGGGGTAAGGGCTCCTTTTTATACTCCTTACTTGTAGCCAAGAGCTCCCCAGGAAGAGAAGCACCTTGACAAGAGGGATACTTCCAATATCTGCCACCAGAGGAGGGATGGAGCCCAGTTCTGCCCAGTGCCCTGAGCTTCCCTCCTCTTTGTCTAGATGGCCCTCCTGAGTCCCCAAAGGTCCAGCACCCACTCCAGGGATCATGTAGCCTGGCACAACCAAGATGGGAGAGGATCAGCCCAGAGCCTAGGATCTGAGGTCCCCTGATGAAGAAGCACTGCCTTCCTGCTATGGAGAAAGGTTGGGAAGATGGTGAGAACATCACTTCCCAGGGAAGTGATGGTGTCTCCCTTCCAGGTTCCAAGATGCTGGGTGCTTTGCTTCCCTAATCTCATCAAAATCCACACAGCCACATAATCACCACCCACATTTTATGGAGACACTGAGAGTTGGAGACAAGTCTGAGCCAGAACCATAAGCAGAAGCTTCTTTCAATGTCCCCTGGAGGGGCAGGGAATCATGCTGGAGGGGTGGCAGAATGTGCAAGTTCAAGGCGATCCTGTCATTACTGAGTAGGGGCCAGGAGACAGATAAGAAATGCAGGGTGTGGGGGACATAACTAGGACCTTCTCAAAATGAGCCTCCCCACTGGTGTCAATGGGGATGAACCTGCATGTCTTCTCCCTTACCCCTGCTGGGAAGGAGAAAACATCCCCATACTCCTTTGGTTCTTCTTTTCAGGCTGGTTCAGTGAGCAAATTTTCTGTGATAGCTATGAGACAATCTCACTAGTCAGAAGACATTGGTAAACAATAAATTAATTACTTAGCAAATTGTACATGTGATAGGAGATAATAAATGGTGCAGAAAAACAGAAATAGAACGGGCTGGCGAGGGAGACTCAAGGGCAAAATGTAAATGATGTAAATCAGGCCCTCTCAGGCCTCTGCCATCACAGAATCCTCTGAGATGGAAAAGCGGGAATTTAAATTTCATTCCAAGCACTCCTTCCCAACATACAGTCAGAAAGAATCAGGCCTCCCCTGTGGCACAGCGGTTGAGCGCTGGGTTGCGAAGCTGCCCGTGGCCTCTGCGCGCCGGTTCGCTGCTCCCAGGCCACCGGAGGAGGGTCCCCCATGGCGCGCAGACCTCTCCTGCCGCCCGCTGCTCCCCTCAGCAGTGTACTTCGGTCCTTCTGCCTGCTCTGCTCCCCGCTCTGGCTCTGGTGAATTCTCTCACCCTCCTGCGCTTCTGACTGTACCCAGTGCTTGTATGAATAAATAAATAAAACATGCCTCTATAAAAAAAAAAGAATCCTCCCTTGATTAGGCACTTTCATAAAGTTAGTACATGGTACAATGTAATGTATTATCTTAACTGGATTCACCTGAGAAGTCTTGTTTAAAATAGTGTTTAGGCTACTAAGCTACTCTTCTTTTAATAACCAGGTCCTTTACTGGAAGAAAAGCCCACGAGGAATAAAACTGTTTTCTTTTTTCAACTTCAGCACTATCGTAGTCACAGTAATTGCTGTCCAAGAGACTGAATGCTCTCCACTGTGGCCATTTTGGGGATCAGATATTGGCAGTATGTATCCATCAGGAAGTTTCAAAGAATCTGTTATAGGGCAGGGAGAGGGGCACCGTAGGACTCACGAACCTGCCTGCTCTCAATAGGTTCTGCCATCTGCCGCATCAAGACAAAACATATAGACCTTTAATACAATTAGTGTGCAATACAGAAAAGACAAAGAATGGTTTGCAAATCAAGCACCCAAAGTAACCCATTCCCTCGTGGGTAAAAGTCCACCCAAATGGGACACGTCTAAAGCACCTTCTGGCGGGGAACCATAAAGAAGGGTCAAAAACAGTTTAGACAAGTCTGGAAGGAAAAGAGCAAAATCAAAGTCAAGATAAAAGCTGCCGTTGTTAACCTCCCCACAGATCTCTCACCAACATCTGTTTCAACCAGTCCAAGACTAGGAAACAAGCGCAGTTTCTTCACGTGTCTCCATGCGCCTCCTCCAGGTCTCCTTCTGGCTCCATCCTGCTTCCTTCCTTCCCCGGTCTCCTCTGCAGCTTCTTCTCTCTCTGCTCAGCTCCACCCTCTTTGGGTGGGGCAGGGAACCTGGAACCTCCCTGTTACAAATCCCGCTAAAAAATATAGTATCACCCATTACACCACTTTCCCCCTGTAGGCTAGTAGTGACAAAAATGGAAATGTTTATGGAAAGTCACCTCCAGCTCTACACTGCAGTTCTCTCCAAACCAGGGCTTCCCCACCTGGCAGCACATGGCAACCACAGGAGCACCTTGGAAAATACCCACACCACACCCCACCTCACACCCACTAAGCCAGAATCTCTAGGAAGGGGAACCTGGACTCCAAGAAGAAAACCCACTTCTGGCAGAGAAGCTGCAGTGAGAGTCTGGCACCAGGAAGGCAGGGTCCCTGCTGAGAATAATGCCACCGAAAGAGGATTATCTTCCAAACTCCATCCTGAGCACACTGTGAATTGACTCCTGTGGAAGAAGTGCCTCAGAGAGGGGGGCAGAGGGGACAAGAAGTGATCGCGGGGCCACAGGTCTGGATGAGACTCCCCTGATCCCTCCCCTTACTGTTTGTGTCTCCCTGCCTTTCTATGACTTGGCAACTCACCACCGATGTGTCGCCCGTGAGTTACTGCAGTTTTAGGTTGGATTGCTGGGTGTGCTTTACCCCCATGTCAAGTTTAATACAAAGCCAGGCCACCTCACTCTGGGACTTACAATGAAATGACTAAAGCAAAGGCTCTACAACCTCACGCTGACACCCACTGTCCCCACTCCCTTCCCGTACCTCAAAGCTTTCTTCTCTTCCCCTTACCAAAGCCAGCTGGGCCAGGCTGACTGTCCCTCTCGCTGAACTCCGCAGCAACCCCCCCCCACCTGACGCAGGGCTTTCTGGTGTACTTCAGGGGACAGCCAGTAGATGGCGTTGCTGCGCGCCAGCTCTGCTCGGACTCGGGCCAGACCCAAAAGCGTTTCACCCAGCTTAGACGGAATTGGCGCACTGTGAAGGAGCAAAGCATGAGGATGAGATATGCAGGTTGTTTGGAAGTTGTGAGGGG